TTTTAAATGTGTTTCTTCTCATTATTGTATGCGGTTCATTAATAATGAACCGCATACAATAATGAACTCGCTGTACATTCTGAAGTCTCACAATACCCTGAAGCAACACTGGATACACAGGAGAGCGCCATTAACTTCAACGCCTTTTATTGCAGTGAGTTTCAGAACGACTAAAGCAAGCAGAAGCCTTGATTTGATATTTTAGACATCATATGATGGTAACAATTCTTTACCTATAAGAAGTATGGAAGGGTCTAGTAACGTGTCCCAAAAAAAAAAAAACATTATACAAAGCGAATATTATGCCTGTTGTACTCTCTCAAAATCTAAATCGATGAGTTACATGGTGGTGGATGTGAGTGGAATAACAGGACTTTTAACAGATGATAAGCTCTTAACTTGTCTGGTGTTGGTGTAGTTTCAGGAAGGATTTTAAAGAGCTCAATATAAAACCTCTTCAGGCTGAATGAATTTATTCAATTATTCATGAGGCACTTGTAAAGATGGCAGATTAAATGACTGTTGATATTACGTTATAATTTAACCCGAGCACTATCTCTATTAGGCTCTGAAGACACTCATATAATCATGACAGTGTGAGATATTGGAGGTTATTTTGGTTCTAAACAAAAGAATATGCCACGTTCATTCAACATGCATACATTTCCATTTGGTTCATCTATTCTATGTAGTTGGATAACATGTTTTGATAGGTGTCATTTTATGCTTGAAAAACTAATACTGTGGTTGCAAACACAAATGACTAATCGGAGTGGAAACAACAGAAATAAGTAGAAACTTAAGTTTTTTTTTTCCATACTTGCACATCTTTTATTTTCTGTGGGGCATTTGTGATCCTCCACTGCTCATAAGCACCAAAGATTAATAGAGAGAAGAGAAACATTCAAAGGGATGGAGCGCTTAGAATAAGAGCATCCATAAAGAGAAGAACTTAATGACAACTTCTGTCATTCAGATGGCAATTGAATAATTTACTAAGGAAAGATCAAGAGTAAATGGCATGACATGATTGAAAAATGAACACCAATGTAGTCAAAACAACAGAAACAAGCAAATTTGTTGATTTATAGGACTAAATAGTGTATCTGGGTGCTAAAAAAATCCTTTTGGACTGTGTGATGCAGAACTGCAGCATTTCCCAGTCATTTAGCATGAGTATTTTACATATATGTGATTGTGATTTTCCTAGCTTTGAAGCATGTAAGTAAACATACACAGTGCATCGTAGCAAATACTGCTAATCTGAACATGCAAAAAGAGATACTTTCATTGACACAAAAGCTTCAACCGATCGTGTCTATCAGGTATTATTCCCAGATGTTTAGGTAGGGTTTCATCAAAGAAGTAAACAGCCTTCATAAATTCATATTATAATGGAAGCATTACATTATCCAATATGGTTTCTAAATGTAGATGTTTTGGAGTATCTGGAAGCATACTAGAGACGTGCTTTCGTGGTTGGAGATTTGAACCCAAATGTATTGATATGAAGAATCAAATAAGTGCTTGTCTGTAGTCGACAATTCATCATCGGCGCTTTGTGGTGCTTCCAACATGGTTCATGCTTCTGCTCATCTGGGGAAAGTGCACATTTGGAGTCCTGGCGTTTGGCCCGTAGAGGCCCAAGTTTCTCGCAGTGATGGACTTGCGAGGGGTTTTGATGCAAGGGAACGGGGAGAAGATCTGCTGTGGTTTTGAAGGTTCTCCTGCTAACGTTGAAGGGTTTCTTTTGAGGGAGCCTCCGCTTTCTGAGCTGGAGGAGTCTGAACCTGGACGGCGGGTGGATGGGAGCGGAGCTGAGGCCGTGGGTTTGGGCTCGGGCTGCGGTTCTGGTGGTGGAGTTGGTGTATTTGGATTAGAATCTGATTCTGGTGGTGGAGTTGATGTAGGTGGATCAGAAGTTGCTTCTGGTTGAGGAGTTGGTGGAGTTGGATCAGAAGCTGCTTCTGGTGAAAGTTCTGGTTCCAGTTCCAGAGAAGACAACTGCTTGTCGATCTCCTGGAGATCATCTGCTTCTCCAGAAATGTGGTCTTGCTGAGAGACATCTGAGCTTATGGTCTCCACCCTCTCTTGCTCTTCATCCTCACGTCTTCCCTCTTCAGATGCTTCTTCTGTTTTGCTCACATCAGTTAGTTCGTCTTCTATCTCCAAAGAATCATCAAATCCGAGTTGCGCTCGCGCCCTGGCGATGTTCCTTCGGTGCGCGCGCACATGTGTACGCCAGGGTGAATGATGTCTGGTCCGAATCATCTGATTCTGGCTGGGTGTGGAGTGGGCTTGAGGACTTCCATCGTTATGGATAACACCATTCTTTGAGGATCGCTGACCGGGTCTGGGCCTCCTGCCCAGAAGAAGATGGTTGACCACAGGGGAGGGACCGATTTGGGAGGGAAGGATACTGGTGGCTGGACACTTATCTGTGAAGAATCAATATCAACGGTCAAGACTGTCAAAGTCATCATGAAAATGTTTGCAACCGATGTTACTTCCATAATATCTCATATACAGAATATTCAAGGTTAAAAATGTAGGACTGGGCTTTGTGATGTCAGTGAAAAAGAAAAGTGGTTTCAAAGGCCAAAAAATGTATTACAGTTTGTTAAAAGGCATAGTCAAATTATATAAATAATATTATTGTTACATAGAGAAATTATATAAATTATATATACACTACTGTTTAAAAGTTTGGGGTCAGTAATTTTAATTTTTTTTTAATTTTGAAAGCAATTAATGCTTTAAGCAAGGATTCATTAAATTCATCAAAAGTGATAAAGACATTTATCATGTTAAATATCCATTTCAAATAAATATTTTTTTTATTTCTATTATGATAAATATAATATATATAATTTAAATAT